TTTAAACCTATAAATGAAAGGATATGCTACATACAAATGAAGGGAGAACGATACAACATTTCGATTATCTCAGCCCATGCACCAACGAAAGAGAACGATGAAGGAAGATATCAAGGATGACTTCTACGATGCCCTAGAAAGAGAGATAGATACGATGCCCAAACATGATATGCGCATACTCTGCAGGAACGTTAATGATAAAATAGGCAAAGAGCCTAGCCTATACCCCACAATAGGTAAACACAGCCCACACAATATATCCCACGACAATGGCTTAAGACTCACAGAAACTGCAGCAGCTAATAATATGCTAATAAAGTCAACCATGTTTCCGCATAAGACATCCATAAGCAAACCTGGGTCTCAAACGACCATATTACGCGCAACCAAATTGACCATATCATTGTAGATGCCTGTCATGGTAACAATATTATAGACGTAAGAAGCCTGAGAGGAATAGACGGAGACACAGATCATTACTTAGTCAGAGCAAAGTCAAATCTCAGAATATCTAGCACCAAATACAAACAAAACACCAATAACCCAATGGAACATGGACGAAATACACAATGCACAGAAACAACAAAACTATAGAGACAACTTGACAAACCTTCAACTCTGAAAGAGAATACAATGATATAGAACAGCTATGGAAGCGACTGCTGAAATAATAACCAAGTCAGCAGACAAGATCTTTGACAGGAGTAGGCAGATTGAGGGCAAAAAACAGGAATGACGAGGAATGTCGGAAACGCTGGAAAAAAAGACAAACAGTTAGAAAGACTTAGATACAACTGCACAGCCAAAGTAAAAAGGTATATGACGACTGCCGAAAAGAAAACAAGGAAAAAATAATTACGCACAAGAAAAGAAACTATGAACAACAAAAAATATAAAGCGTATGGAGAGAGACGGGCCAAACCAGGCCCCAGAGAATTCTCATAAGCAAGTTCCTATGAGAAAGAGACATGAACCAATTCCAGCCATACACTAGAGCACAATCAAGCGTATGATAATCGACTGTAAAGAAGTAAAACTGAAGAATGGGAAAAAAGTATTTTAGGGACGTTCTAAAATCCTACAGGAAGAACAGCACTGAAGAAGAGTTCTATATTACGCGGACATGCCCTCCGCCAAATCCTTCCTTTGAAGAAAACCCAATAGGCCTTCTTCTTCTTCTTCAGATGCAAATCCACCAATGGCTATTGAGCGATCACATTTTCCATTAATCTTATTTCTTGCCAAATATGTATCAGGATTGTATGTCGTTAATCCCTGTCATTGCCTTATGTTTCGGAGCCAGGACATTTTCACTCCTCTTGCTTCAATTCGCATACGCATTACCAAAAATCACAAAGCGCCGGATGACGGACGATGATACCAGCAGAACTCTGAAAATATGGGGGAGAAGCACTACTCGCCAATTCCACCAGCTAATAACGCAATATGTTAGAGAAAAGAATACCAACAACATGAAGGAAAACATAATATTGCCCATCCACAAAAAAGGGGACCAAACAAAATGCGCGAATTATAGGGAATCCTCACTTTAAACACGGCATATAAAACCCCCTCAAACATCATTTTAGTGACTAATCCTTATGCTGGAAAATGTCTTAGTGCAACAGATCAACAATAGATCAACTATTCACGCTGAGACAACTTCTAGAAAAGGGATGGGGTATAACAGACCAATACACAATCTTTCTCATACCAAAGAAACTCATTCGATGAAAAAGTCGTATGGAGGTGGAATATCTAAAGTACGTGTAAATAATAAACTGTCTGGCAGCTTTGACATCAACAGTGGACTTAAACAGGGTGATGCGTTATCTCCACTACTTTTTAACCTTGTATTAGACAAAGCCATTAGGTCGGCCGAAATAAAAACAGAATTGCTATCGGTTCAAGGTCCCAAGCTGTTACCCGCATATGCAGATGACATAGATCTCGTTGAATACTCCATCCTATCCACGAAAGACATTTTCAACAAGGTGGAAAGAGCGACAAGTGAAGTAGGGCTGAAGATTAATGAAGATAAGACGAAATATATGTGTATAAATAGAACGACACGAAGAGACAGAATAGGACAAAATGTGACAATCAACACCTTCAATTTCGAAAGAGTATGGTAGAGAAACTGGTATGGGAGGAGATTCCCACAAGCAAAAGACCACACGGACGTCCCATAATGTTTTTGACGTATTTGGGCATTGTATAGCATGTCCTTTATTTGTGTTTAATTGGCATAAGTAGGATACATATGTTTGACTCCATTTAAGGCACTCAGAAAATCTGATATAATAAAAAAAATATATCGTTCTCGGTACATTGTTTCAGTGCAATGGAGATTGTTTGCAGTTCTCCAGTATAGCAAGGAGTGTAGCATAACTACACTCCTTGACTAGGCGGCTGATGGAGGTGCTTTCTTCGAAAACAGCTGCATCAGCTACGCCATTGCTGCTTTTGGAGGCATCAGTAAAAATTAGTTTGAAATCCGGATATCTGGAAATGATAGATTGGAATTTTTGTTTTATTTCAGAAGGAATGTGTGAAATTTTGAGATAGTTGAATAAGGTAAAATCTACTTTTGTAAATCGACTATTGTTTGTAGAAGTGGCTCTCAATTGATGTATATCGTATTCAAATCGATTTATGCGATCATTGAGAAGTAAGTTTCTAGAAGAATAATTTGAGTACATATTTAGAGGGTTATTTCTTATTAAGCTGGTTACAAAGAGGTTTTCAATAGCACAACACACTGAAAAATACTGCCTTCTAAGAATTAATGGCGGTTCTTCTGCTAGGAGTTCAAGGCTGCTAATTGACGTGGTTCTGAAAGCTTCGAAAACTATGCATAATGCTATGGATTGGATGATGTCCAGTTTGTTTTGACTTTTAGTAGCAGTTTCATAGCATATACATCCGTAATCTAGTTTTCTTCTAATTAGAGCTTTATATAATCATAGTCTGTGACCCCTATTGTAATTGGAAAGGTTTTATTCTTTTAAAAGATTTATTCTCTATTAGCATGATTTAATTAGTTCATTTATTTCCAATGTCATTCGGAGTTAAAAGTCGAATGGCATTCCAAACAATTTGATTGAATTTTATATGACTTCCAAATAGAATTCTGGTCACATATTCTACTTCATTATATTCCTGGGAAAAAATGGCCTAATCGTCCGTATAGTTTTCAAAAGTGAAATTTTCTGCTGATTAGTTTGAAGATATAAGTACTTATAAATATCTTCCACGATGAATCAAAGAATGTTAAATGTTCTTTACTAGCCCTCGTTCCTCTTTTCCTATAATCTTTTAAACTAGTTTCACTACTAAAACTATAATAGCATATTAATAATCTTATTAAGCTGTCAGATTACAAGTTCATAATTACGAAATTTAATTAACCTCAATAGCCACGTTAACACTACATATCATACATGCAATTAATGTGGATGCCTTACTTTACTTTAAAGTGACGCTTAATTTAGCACTTGATGGACTGCTATTGTTCTTAGCAGACGCTTGAAAAGCCAGTTTGCACAATTTACACTGATTGTGGGATGGATTACTAAAATACCCTGTCCGTGTATTTCAGACAAAAGCAATGAAATTAATTTTCAATTGGTTAATAGCTTCTTGTGAAATATTAAAATCAAAACGAGGAAACAGGGGATGCTTTCTGAAGAAAAAAACGAAAATAAAAAAGCGCAATCAGAGGCATGAAGAAAAAATTTAGAATAAAAAAACCAGTCGTGGCAAAAATAACTCCTCATCTAGTTGTCCTGATACAAAAATACGACAACGATTACAAAATTGTAACTGTACTGTTTTCTAAAAGAGTATAGATCATCCGGGACTGGAGAAAAAGATACCATAGAACAGGAGAATAAAAACAAGAAGTCTCTGAAAAGAGTAAATAATTGAATGACTTTATTCAAAAAAATGTCTTCTTTTTCTTTTGAGAATCCCATATCATTCTTTATTGTCTGCATATATATATATATATATATATATATATATATATATATATATATATATATATATATATATATATATATATATATATAGATTAAGGATCACTCAGACGAGTGGTGGGTTTTTTATCTGTCAAAAGGTGGAGAAAAAAGACAAACTTGATGGCTACTTCATCTATTTATACATATATTCATTTTTATCATTCTTTCTTTGATGCCTTCCCATGATGTGATGTATTTTCTGAAGCGCGGTGTATTATAATGGAGACTCCTTGTTGAGAGCTCTACGTTCTTTTGTGACTCCGGTGTAGAAATGATCGTATTTACCTAGGTTTTCCGATCCTTGAACTTTCCGTTTGGTTTCCGTAATAATAGCTATGTCTATTTTCATTTTGTTTAGTGCTTCCAAGATTTCTGGAGCTTTCTTTGAGATCCCTTGGACGTTTCATGTCGCAAAAATCATTTTCCTGTTCCGTAGCATTTTTCGTCGTCGTATATCAGTCCGGTTCCGAGGCTGGATTTTGGAGTTTTTAGCCTTTACCATTTTTGACGAGTATCGAGTGGTTAACCGATGCCTAACCTAACTTGGAGGACCAGGGTTTGATTTTGGAGCTTTCCTTCTCCTAGACGGTTTGCTTTCACTGCAGCTTAAGAGTATCGTCTGCCCTACCTGTTGGTCCGCGGCTGGTATTTTATTTTCCACCTACCCGCCAGCTGATGCTGGTGTAGGCTTTTCTCTATTTGCCACCTGGGTACACGCTCTCTACGAATTACAGGCTCTTCCGAGAAATTTTTTGAGTTATTTGTGAAATACCGTCTAAAAACGTGGTTTTTATTTTGAAAATGAGAATTGTCCGAAATTCGTCCAAATTATTTTTGCTTATTCATTTTCACTTTTGGAGAGTTTATACCATGAATTATTTATCATTTGTAAAATTTTTCTATTAATAATTAAGGTTATTACTAAATACCTGATACAACAATGCTTAAAAATACTAGTAATGAAATATTTTGTTTTAGATGCAGTATTTTACAATCTCAAAAATAAGACTAATCACCCTGTTGATAATCAATGAGCTAATGACTTTAGCTTTAGCCCTACCTCGAGCAAAAGACAGTAGAGGTACTGGAGAAGTGATAGCTAGAAATGGTATACAAACAGAGCCCACATGTGAGGAGTTAAAAGCGATGTGGAGGTTTTCAAAGAGACAATCGAGAGCCGCGGAAATAACAAATGAACTACCCATGTACAGAGATCCTTTTAGGGAGAACGTCTGGACGCCGTATTATGCTACATCACGAAGCGTCGGAGGGTAAGTAAACAAATTGTAATATTAATATCTTTATTAGTTAAACCCCAAAGTTAAGAAATCCTGAATTAACTTTATAGGAATAATTAATATCTTTAGGGACTACATTTGTTGATAAAAAAATGTTTTTAATATTGACAAATATTATTTATTTATTAACGGGGTTACCTCCACTTTTTGCTACATCAAAAATAACAAAGATTACAAGAATACAAAAGTAAAAGCAATGACAAATCTTAATAATATAGTGGACTAAAATGATTCTACTTTATTTTATTTAAAAAATTTAAAAGGACTGGAGTTACGCTACAATAATTCCTCTTTTGAAACCTAACAAAAACAAGTCAAACCTGGAATCTTATACACCAATGTGAACAACCCGGCAACTTAAGAATTAGCAACTTCACATTTCCGGGTATTATGCATACCAATTTTGATTATGCTCCCCATTGGACTATACAAATTCCATATTGTAACACAGTTCTGTCAAATTATACTAAGGACAATACCCCTTCATCTCTTTTTCTCCAATACTTCTACAATATTAAAAATAAATATTCATCTTGTCAATTAGTTTATACCGATGCATCAAAAACACCTAAATTGAAAACAGTAGGATCCGACATTGTCACAGAGGATTCTGTGCTCAAGTTTCCACTACCTAAGGACTTCTCAATATATTCTGCTGAACTTTTTGCGATATCCAATGCAGTACAATAAACTCTTAATCGACCTGAAGACATGGCAGTAATATTCACAGATTCCTTAAGTGCAATCCAGGGAATTCAGAAAATATATCTGAATCATCCGATTTTAGAACAGATTAAAAAACGCCTTGTGACTCTGCACAAAATAATCATAAACAACTACATATTGTGTGAATACCATCTCTTATGGGGATACCAGGAAATGAGATAATTGATCAAATGGCCAAAGAAGCTTGTAAAATGGAGAGATCCGATGATAGAACTAACCAAATTCCTTACTCAGATATGCAAAAATGCATCAATAAGTACACAAATAACTTATGGTTACGAAGATGGCAACTCTTACCAAATAATAAATTACAGCAAGCAAACCCAGATTTATCAGCGAAAACACCAATTTTAGTGAAGCAAATGGACCAGGTTGTACTACATCGTGTCCGAATAGGACATACCAGACTGACGCACGAATACCTACTAATTAAGGTACCTCCTAGAATATGCTACGCCTGTGACATCAATATAACTGTGGGCATTATTGTTATAGATGTCCATTATATCAAATGGAAAGACAAGCTACTGGACTACCAAGTGATATAAAGTGCGCTTTAGACAGTGCGGATTGTGACAAAATCATTAGGTTTTTAAAGAAAACGAAATTGTATAATCAAATATAAGTGATACTTCAAGAAAAATTCTAAATTATAATTAACTTTGTAAAAACTTTAGTTTATATTTTATGTTAATCATTATAATATATTATAGTCTATATTGTACCACCGCTAATAACCTTTTATGGTTGATGCAGGTTATTCCCAATAAAAAATAATAATAATAATAGTAATAAGAGAATAAAAAGTAAGATTCGAGTAGTTAGACAAACCACTACTCAATTTTCTTCGGATATGACCTCTGCGGTCATCTTTCGATCATATGGGACAAGACAGAATGAAGTTGAAGGCGTGTTTCTACTACAAAACTGACACTAAGCTCGTACGGCCAGAATCAAGATGAATGGAACTTATTCTGACATTTTTAAATCGATTTGATTTAGGTAGGATCTTTTAGCGTGGGTTAAGTATATAATGTATACACTTTATCCTCTCCAACCCTTCTATTTTGAATATTTTCCAATGTGCAAGATATATAGGTTATGGCTGAGATGTTAAAGATTAATATTTTACCGAATGTTAAACTACCGATTATGTTGCTCTTTTCGAATAAGGTCAAGTGAGTGTTTGGAGAGTTAAATTCCAGTTTCCTTGTTCCCGCTTAATTGACAGGCCTTCTATTTCTCCGATAGTTAATTTCCTGCGGTTTTGTATACTTGCCGACAGCTCGAAAATGGCTGCCTGTTTAATCTTTCGGGCTAACGAATTTTCCTGTTAAGATTTGTTCGTATAGATAGAAAGGAAAGGTTTTTCAATAATCTGTTCCTTTGAGAGGGTTTTAGATGGATTCAGTGATTCAGTAATAGAGTTGGTAAGCGATGCAGAATGTGATTTAAGAAGCAGTGTAGTACGATTTTAATCCATTCAATAATGGTCGAATAATTTTTATTCTATTCATTTATTAAACGAAAGAACATTTTTTTTAAAATCGCAGTTATAAATGAAAATTTGAAAATTTTCGAGAGTTTACTATATTCATTGGCATTAATAATATAAAAAATCTAAAAAAACAGGTCATCATCAATGCTTAATCCCTAACAAGGGTAAATGTTATTCAATGGGGCGTCTGTTTTTATTACAATAACTAAAAGTTTGGCTTCGACTATTTCGTTACATGTAGTGTATATATATATATATATATATATATATATATATATATATATATATATATATATATATATATATATATATATATATATATATATATAGTTCGGTTTAAAACGTTCTCCTACGGCTTCCGATACCCAACTGCCACTCCTCTCGATTTATCCTTAAGTCTTATTATGTCTCTGTCTTTCATTTCTCTATTGATGCCTTCTTCCAACAAGGTGGGGTCTTCCTCTTTTTTTCTACCGTGAGGGGTCCACATTAAGACTTGTTTTGGGAGACGTTCTTCAGACATTCTCTGCACATGACCGTACCATCTGAGTTGTTGGGTACAAATATCGTCCACTATTGTATGTTTTAATTTTATAATTTCTCTTATTTTGTTATTGGTTACTCTTTCTAGTCTAGATTTTCCAGCTGAACGTCTCCAGAAATCCATTTCCGTTGCCTCAAGTTTTCTCTTATACCTTTCCTTTATTTGCCAAACTTCACTACTGTAGGTAATTATACTTTTATTGATTGTATTATATATATATATATATATATATATATATATATATATACATATATATATATATATATATATATATATATTATATATATATATATATATATATTGTATTTGTTATTATTATAGATTAATTGATCCCAAAGAATACTATTGAGAAGGGAAATTGCTTTTCTTGCTTGGTTGTTTTTCTCCTCCATTGTGTCGTCTACGTTGTCTTCTTTTGTGATGATTATACCTAAATATTTATATGTGTTACAATGTTTGATAACCTCTCCATCTTCCAATATTGGGTCCTGTTGTTTCCCGCCGATACACACATACTCGGATTTTTAGATATTGATTTGAAGTCCCAATTTTGTATACTCCTCGATTAATTTTCGAGTCATATACTCAATATCTTCATAATTTTGTGTTATTACTAGTTAATCATCTGCAAATGACTGTCGGGAAGAGACAGAAACCCTGCTTAAGGCCTTTATTTATTTGAAATCCACTTTCCAACTTTACTTCTGAGTTAGCATTAGCGTACAGTTCCTTCGTCGCATTTAATAAATTCATGCTTATGTTTGTTTTCTTTAACGCTTACCATAATTTATACTGTGGTACGCTATCATAAGCCTTTCGTAGTTCTACATACAATAAATGTACTTCTTGATTAACGGCTATTTTCTTTTCAATAATCTGTGTAATGCAAAACAGATGGTCAACAGTAGATCTACTTGCCCTAAATCCTGTCTGTTCCTCAGTCTGTAAGTCTTTATATTCGCTTTTTGTTTTGTTTTTAATTACTTTTCGGTATATTCTACTGACCGAGTTTGTCACGGCAATGCCTCTGTAATTATCACATTCATCCCTTCTACCTTTTTTGTCTATAGTGGATATGAATTATGTCGTCCACTCCTCTGGGGTTGTCATTGCAATAATGCAGTTTTAGTACATTTTGGCTAAACTTGTATATACTTTGGTTGTACTGTGGTTAATTATAATAAGCGATTGTGCTGCATCTATTAGATTATTTTCTTCAAGAAACCACAGCAAACGGTTAGTTATCATCTTTTCTAGTAGTTTGCACATTGAGCATGTTAGTGAGATAGGCGTGTAGGTACTGGCAGCGTTAGAAGATGAGTCATTTTTCCTGATCTATATAATAAGCGACTGTCGCCAAAGACTCGGAAAGCTTTGGCTGAACCATATCTTACAAACAATATTCTGTTTTCATGACCTTCGAATGGGATAACTAATGAAGTTTGCAGATTAAAATTGTCATCAGAGATAAAAACATACATTTGTCTTTCGCCGGGGATACCTGCTTGCATTTTCTGCAAGGTCGTGTAGTATACATGGAGATATATTGGATATTATTATTATTTTTGTGGGGGAGACTAGCTTGCGAACATTCATCACAGAGTTTCCCATTGTCAAAATCGGATGAAATTTTAGAAGTTTGTCGACGAGTTCTGAATTAATTCCTCCTCCCCCTCAGTCCTAATCCCTTTTAGGATGTGGTGACACCATCAGGCCATTACAGTTTTTTTAGGATTTCCCTCCATCCTTCTCTGTCCTGGGCTAGTTGTTCGGCTTCATGTAACCCTTGGTTAATCAATGTTTTTGTTTGATCTACCCAACGGCTTGGAGATCTTCCCCTAGGTCTTTTTTCTTCAACTTTACCCTCGACTATCAGTTTTTCCATCGTGCCTGTTCTTCTAGTAATGTGTCCAAAATACTGCAAATATCTCTGTTGTATTTGTTTAAGCAATATATCCTTTACTTTAAGTTGTTCTAGTATCGATACGTTAGTGCGATGATCAATCCAGAATATTCTCAACATGCGGCGGTATACCCACATTTCAAAAGTGTCCGCTTTTCCGCTTTTTCCGATTTTTATCCGCTTCCTTTAAGGTCCACGTTTCGGATGCATATGTAGCTATGGGAAAAATGAGCGCCCTTGCCAGCCTTAGTTTTGTGTGTATTGTTATGCTAGAATTTTAACAAATTGCTATCAGTTTCATC